GAACCTCTCTATAAAATGGCTCCCGATCTAAAATGACAAATTGATGCCAATATTGATCTGATGCCAATAGTTTAAATGTGAGATTGAGAAACTGATGTGACTCCATTTTTTTGGGGGGGGGTACTAAATTTCTTTATTTGAAGGAATGGTACAAATTAAAGAACATAAGTGGATGTTTTGGTACAACTTATAGAAAAGGTAAAGGTAGCCCCAATATGCATGCACTGCCTTGGTGACCAGGGAAGTCACTTGCACGGCTATGGGAAAGTCAGGCTGAGGTGACTCCATTTTTGAGAAACCAGCCTCTAGTTGTTTGACTTTCCCTCCGTATGAAATGATTTGCTGTGTGATGTTGTGATGCATAGAGTATCCCCMAAAAACCTATAAATCCTCACTGAACATAGGACTGGGACTCACTCCTTGGGACCACTGTGTCAGAAACTATTGTGAGTCTAGGCTTGCAATAAAGCCTCTTGTGTGATTGCATCGGATTAGGCTCCTGGAGGTCTATTGGGGTTCCACGAATCTGGCACTACAAGGTGTCCTCCTAAAGCTCATGTGTGAGACAATGCAAGAAGGTTTGGAGGTGAAATGATTGGGTTATGAGAGCTTTAACTCAATCAGCAAATTAATCCCCTGATAGGGATTAACTGAGTAATAACTGGGCAGGTAGGTTGTGGCTAGAGGAGGTGATATACCTTGGGGTTTGTATATTGCCCTTGTTTAGCAGAGTTCTCTCTCTGCTTCTCAGTGGCCATGCAGCGGCCATGTCCTGGCCTGCTCTTCTTCATCACAGTCTCCCACCATGATATTCTGCCCCACCTCACCACCACCACTCCCCTGAATGGAATCAGGAGTCTATGGGTGAAGAAACTGTGAGACCAAATTAAACTTTTCCTCCTCTACATTATTCTTGTCAGGTCTTTTGGTCACAACAGCAAAAAAGCTGACTAAAATACTAGTGTACCAAGAAAAGGACTAGACAGGCAATTGCTTGCAGATATTTTCTTCTACATGTGGTGCATACTTAGCATATCCCCTTTGCATAGCAAAGTGTCCTGTAAATTTATGGTTCAACTGGGGTGGCAAAGTGTAGGGAAGCATTAATTGCATAGATGGGGTTTAATAAAAAAAAATCATACCAAAATATTGTTTGCAAATTTTTTAAATTTTCATCTTTTAAAAAATATTTTAATTGTAGTTGGACACAATACCTTTATTTTTATTTATTTTTATGTGGTGCTGAGGACACGTGCTAGGTGAGTGCTCTTCTGCTGAGCCACAACCCCAGCCCCTGTTTGCAAATTTTTTAATGGTGAGGTATGTGGACCAGCAGTCTTATCTATACAATGTGTGGTAGTGGATATTTTCTTCCAGAATTTGGTTAATATAATCTATCTGACAAAATGGTCTCAGATGATAGGCACTGAACATAAAAACTCATATATACAGGGTTTGACATGATTACCAGAGTCACAAAAAGTCTGAGGATCACAGGCAAGTTGATGGGATATATCTGGGAATACCTCTTTGATCAAGCTCAGGGGCACTCTACTGTTAGGAGCCACAGCAAAAATATTGATACAGGCACCTTTGGATTTAATGACTGCCAGCCAGCAATTCACATTCATATGGTAATTGGACTCATGCTGTTTAGCTGGGCCCATTTCAGGACTCAGGTTACTCATGTCACTCTTATAATGGGAGAGTTCCCATTGGTTGGGAAAGGATGGTAGG